AGGCACGCCCACGCTCCTCTGCTCCTGTAGTTGATCTCCCGGGTGAGGTCGCCGTGTTCGTTGACGAGGCCACCGAGGTACCGGAACTCGGTCGTCTGGGCGTATTTCTGTCTCGCGGCTTTGATGGTCAGCGGTGGAGGCGGGGAGGGCTGTGATGTTGTGGTCGGCTTGTCCTTCGCGCGCATCAGGAGGAGCGTCTCCGTCTTCTTCTGCGACACCGTTAGCCCGAACTCCCCGAACATCTCAACGATGATGGTGATCATTCTCGCCAGTCCGTCTGCAGACCTCGGTACGACGCCGGCATCATCGGCATACAGCATCCCCCTTGTTGGATCAGTATGGACATACGAAGGTACTGGGTAGAGAGAGATCGCAACGGTTTTTAATATGAAGACAACAACAACAACAACAACAACAACAACAATACTGCCCTCCGTACTCGGTGAAGGGGTGTCTCCTCCCCCACCCCCGCTTCCGTCTTCCCCTCCTCGAAGCACACCAGGCTCCGCAGAACAACATCATCCTCGCTGAATCGGATGACAACCACCTCGAGAACCTCGGCGAAGAAGATGTTGAACAGCAGTAGGGATAGCACACATCCTTGTCGCACGCCCTGTATCACGAAGAACCAGTCCGATAGTTCGTCGTCCATGCGCACCGTCGTGGAATTGGGTAGAGGGAGATCGGAACGGTTCAATGTGAAGACAACAACAAGAACCCCACCACGAAAGTTACTCCGCAGGTTTTGTGGACGCACCTTCATCAGCCTCGGGCTAATGCACTCCACCGTCCTGCCCCCCTCGCCCACACTCTCCCACATGGCCTCCTTGATCGCTATGCCCACATCGTGTACGCCCCTCTTGTCCTTGGTGCCAGCACGGGCGCCACTCCAGATGATCACGAACTCGTCGTGTTATTGTCGGCGGGTGTCGCCAGCCATCCGCCAGCTGCTCAAAAATTTTGAAGAAATGCCGCCTTTCATTTTTGGCGGCAACGTCGGGGCATTTAATCTTGAAGGGGTATTTGACAGGCGCGGGATATCTCAAACAACCATGCAATTTTGCCGACCGGACCTACTGCGGCGATACCTCCTGTCCAGCAGGTTCAGTTCAGTTCAATCTTTCCACACAACACCTCGGAGCCTTTACCACAGACTGCCTCACTCACCGTTCGCTCAGCTTCGATAGAAGGAAGGTCGACAGGCAATGAGGTCATTCTTATTCATCAGCGGGTTCGGCCTTTGGGCTACATCCAGCGTTCGGTGAGGGATGATGGCCGTGGTTTTGCATCACGAGAGGCAGCAGCAGCCGTAGCTCTCACATCGGTCGGAAAATAATACGTTCCATATAAATGTTCACCTTGCGTGAGTGTTGCGTGCCGCTGGTTGAGTGCTTTCGATCTGTCTCAGCCGAGCCCTGCAGTACATGACGCCGGCTCTCGCGTGTCTACCAAACAGCACGCGGGATACTATTCTGTGTGTGAAAATGAAGGCTCCTTGATTCTAAAACAAGGGATCTATCTCCAGTGACACATACACGTGGTTGCTAAAAAGAGAGTTGTTTTGATAAGCGGCGCTCGATTTTTCCCTCTATTATTTTGTTGTTCGAAAATATTTTGTGCGGCCCCTGGGGTTTCGGCGTTCACGCTCGCTTGTCCTTTCCGTGTATCGGTTAGGAGTGAGATGAGCCCGGCCAGCGAGAATATAGCATGGAGCAATACCGAACGCGCCATGAGAACTCATTCGTATGCATGCGATAAGAGGCGCTCGAATTTTCCCTCTCTTCTCTTCGAAAATATTTCGTGCGGCCCGTGGGGTTTCAGCGTTCACGCTCGCTTGTCCTTTCCGTGTATCGGCTAGGAGTGAGATGAGCCCGGCCAGCGAGAATATAGCATGGAGCAATACCGAACGCGCCATGAGAACTCATTCGTATGCATGCATATTTTTCGTGCAGCCCTCTCTCGCTCCTGATTTTTTATCAAGTGAGGCCAACATATGGTCCAGAAGTAGATTTTAGCGTGGAGATAAGTTCTCAAAGTTCGTCCGTGAAAAGCTAGTCTTAACGCGCGCGCACACCTGCTTATAATTAGTCCGTCATAGTTTGTGTAGAACGAGCGCGATGGAGCAGACAACGTGTTTACTTGTATGATTTGTCCAAGCGCCAAGCGCTTGCGATTGATTAGTTGGGGGGCGCTCTTCTGTCTATGTCGTTTTTTTTTTTTTTGTAAGTCTGATGTTGAGATGTGTGGCTGCGAGCATGAATAGGGTACATCTCATTGATGATAGATAGGATGCGGATCGGTCAGAAGGTATACCCTTCTGACCCCTACCTCCTTAGAATTGTCTACTCTGTATACCCCCTGAGATGAAGTTGGATTCCCACTTCATCGCAGACCCTTGTTGATGGTCTCTCAGCAATAACAAGCAACTTTCCCCTCTCAAAGTGGTCGTGGACAAGTGTGTCAACGACAGAACCTTCATCTACCTCTAGGAGCAAGCTACCGCCCACGGCTCCTTTAGACTTGGCGTCAGCTGGATACTGTTCAAAATCTCCTTGGGTGCACACTTTTTCTCCTGACTTGGACATTTTCCCATGGACACAATGCGTGTCAGTCCTGACACCTCCTCTTGGAGTCGATCCTTCAAAGAACCTTGTGGCACTCCATCGAATTACCCGTCCTGGCCACAAGAGGTTCCCAGTTGAGGGTAAATTCTTTGGGTGGAGAGTGTTGGAGAGCCCCATTCGCAGTCGCAGGGCATCCGTCGATTGACTTTTACCAGAATCGGTACACCTTCGCATACTTTTTGTTTCTGCAATAAGCAAGTGCCGCAATGCACAGAAATGTATAGCAGGCCGGCGTCTGCGTCCGTTGGATGGAGTGAGGACGTTGAAGCGCTGGAAACAATAATAGACAGCGATAGGAACGGCTTTATTTTCTGAAGACAGCAATCCATACACTAAACCTTTACAGCAGTACCACTGCCTTCCATCAGCGGCCCACTATCATCGCGCTCCGACGCTGTGGATGAGACTACAAATAGTCGGGACCCGATGAATTATTTATATTTTATATTGAACCATTGCCGTGCACTGGTCGCGAAAATTGAGAGGGGCCGAGTTCCCCAAAAGTCAACTTGACTCTTGACTCACTATTCATTCATACGACCACACTTCCTTATCGTTGATGTGTGTCGTAGACCCGCTTCTTCCTTGTCCCAGGACCCGACGTGGTCCACCCTGTTCCACTGAATTGTTCGATTTATTTTCACATTTCGTTGTTTCCGGTTTATTATTTGCGATTTATGCATACGATGGATGATCCGATGCAGGGCGAGCTGTGACGATTTGAGGAGCGCCCTCTCCTCTCCTCTCACGGGGGATACCACCCTCGAACTCTCCGGAGACGCCGACTGCCCCATCCTCGAAGACAATGAGCTGGAGGAGTTCACTGTCGAGGGCGGAACGCTGACCCTCACCGGCCCGTCCACCACCAAGTGAGTGCGCGTGTGTTGTGTGCGTGTGTTTAGGAAGAATAGGTGTGTTCGTCCCACTTACTCTGGCGCCGGTTCACAGGCCTTCCGGCGTATATAGCTGAGGTATCAGCCGGGGTAATCACAAGAGGAAGGTCACACTGGAGGAACGTTTTTCTTGTTTTTCGTTTTGTTTCATTGCCCCACGTTTCCCCCTGTGGTGCTTGCCTTAGTTCGTATCGGGGGAAGCGCTGAGCCGTCCCTTTCCCCTCGTCGACCGCGAAGCCGGAGTGAGTGCGCCACCAGAACAAAAACAAGCAAACGGCAGCGGGTCTTCAGTCGTTGGTTGCAGCTAGAAAGGAAGAACGAAGGAGAGTGTTTACGCGGGTTTTTGGTTTGGCGCAAACCCGTCCCACCCCGCCGCCTCGTCCCGTCCCATGATTGATTTTCGCCATCCCAAGATTCACGAACCTCAAGTTCACCATCATGGACCAGGCTGGCCTAATCTTCGACTACGACACGACTGAGTTCGGCCCCAACCTTGGCTATGTAAGATGCGTCCGTCCATTCCTCTTTTGTGTGCAAGCAATTCAGAATGTTGCGAGGTTATCATGAACACGTCTGGCGGGTGGGGGCTGGGGGGGGGGCATGCGTAGTACGATTCTGCGTAGTACGATTCTGTGTTTGGTAGACTTTGCAGGCGAGTCACGCTCGTAATACCGTTGGTGATGGTCTCCAAATCCCTTTTCGGGAATACATCTCCTATTGTAGAGACAGCATGTGGTTTCATTACACGCGTTGCGCCGTTGAAATAATTTCGGGGCAATCTTGTTTCTCTTCGGCAGCTTACAGCGGTGGGTTGTATCGCGCGGCGATTCCGGGGTGATTTTGAAGGCCGGAAAGTTGTGGTGTACATCCTGGCACACCTTTTGGAACGCCGGGGGTTACTTATTTGAGTTCCACAGCTTATCTGCTTTCGGGCCGAAGGTGGTTGTAAGAACGTATCTACCCTAGTTTTTTCCTCTCTCGTCGGAAAGTTGACACCAAAACACACGACGGACACACGAGTCTTTTTTCTTTTTGCATGGAACAGAGCCAGCTGCTTTGGCAAGTACTTCGAAGTACCAAATTGGTTGACCCCCACCACTAGCGTGTTTTCTCTCTTCTTGGTGCCCGCAGGAACAAGAGGACGATTACGGCGGCTACATGGTGCAAGTCCTGACGGGGGGTTCCGTAGAATTCCTCGGGGAGATGGCCGCGACGGGCCTCGCCAACATGCGTAGCGTCTTCTACAACGAAGCCGGGGGCAGCATCGAGTGAGTCTGCCAGTAGGCACGCTTTCGCTTAGCATGTGACACTCTGAAATTTTGAACGGGCTTTCGGATGTAATGCTGCTGTGAATCTCAGCGTTCCCTACATTTCCGATTGTAGGTGGCACCGCATATGTAGCACAAGGAGGGAGTGTTCGTCAGAAGAATGAAACATGCGGCCGACGACTTGGGGGAGTAAAAAAGCATCCACTCTGATGTTGTCCACTAACTATGCCCCTAGAGGTATGTATACACATAATATCGGGGGAACTAAACGTGATAACTCGTATATTGCCATCGCGCTTTCTGGCGATTCCATGCTCCACCCCGCTGCCGTCTATCTATCGCAAGGTTCGCCGACAACGCGGTGTTCGATACCATCGGAACCAACGTCTTCCGGAGCAACCTCGGCAGGCTGAGGTAAAGCGATGGCTCTTGTGTGTTTCGGTTGCTCGTGTCGTCCAGCGTCCCCTTCTTGTTTGGCTTGTTCTTCCGCGGTGTGTGTGCGGGGGGGGATCAGGCGACACCTACCACTTTTCATGGGGTTAGGCATTGCACCGACCAATCGAAAACGCTGCTCGGCCGCTTTGTGTCTCGTCCCCCGCCCCCTCCCTCTCTTTGCCGATAACGGTAGGTTCTATGGTGACGCGACTTTCACCAACAACATCTACCTGGCCATCGACAACGACGGAGGCAGTGTCAGGTGAGAATGAGTCCCGCCCGGCTGGTCAGGAATGTGCTGCCGTTCGTCCGTCCACACGCAAAAGGATGCGCGGTCATCATGTTTTTCTTGTCGTGCCACGAAAATACAGAGGACGAAAAACATGCCATATATTTTCTGGGCATGTCACCTTTGGGTATGATATCTGGACACATAAGCCCCCTGGCACAGCTGCTACTGGTTCCAGCAAAACGACAGACGGCACTAATGCCAGGCGTACGGCACAATACCGACGTGATAAAAGGGCGCCGACGTAACGGGTGCTGTGCTTTTTCGTTCATGAGTTAACACGCAATAGGTGTGTTTAAATAATGCCCATGAATTCACCCGCACATGTATGTTTAATTTTCGTGCATGTCGCCGGGTCTGCAAAATCAACCGCCGTGTCATGTTTTTTTGGCTCACGCCACGCCGGTCGTGAACGTTCTCTCGCTCAACGACCTGGATACCACCCGATAAGATGTTCGACAAATATACAGGTCGGGCAACTTAACTAGGCAAGTCCAAAACACACCCTGACACATAAAAATCATTCATTTATAAATGCCCCCATCTTTTCGTACGCGCGCGTTTCTTTGGCCCCCCCCCCTCCAACGAATCAGGATCAACGGCGAGGCCACTTTCGTCGAGAACGGCAGAAGCTTCGACGGCCACAGCGGGGGTGGTTTCAGCAACACGGACGGAGGAATTGCCATGTGCGACAGACACCAGATGTTGATGAAATTTGTTACCGCTAGCCTAGTTACTGCTGAGTTTACGTGCGCGTGTGGCTGCTGAGGGGCTGATAATTTTCTACCTAGGGTTAGTGTTTCTTACCGATGTTACTTGTTACGGTATTGACGTGTTGTGCTGCATCCGTTGCATTGTGAAGGGCGTATTTTCATCGGTAGCATTAGCAACTCGATTCGAATCAAGTAGCCCTCTGCCAGCCCTGGCTGCTCTTGCTTGGTCTGATTTCGTTTGGTGCTTGATGGAAACACCAAACAGTACAGCCGTGTTACCGACGACACACCCATGGATGTTCGGACTTCGAAGCCGGCGTGTACATGACGCGCCCCCCATGGTCAAATGGTCTAACCGCTAAGGAAGGCAAACCGTAAAGAGTGCGCCCCCCCCCCTCAACCGCCACCACCACACCTCCGTTTGTTCTGCGCAGCTTCCGTGGCCCCGCTCTGTTCAGCAGCAACACGTGCGACGAGGATGGTGGCGGAGTGTACAACGGAGAAGGCTCCAAGATGACGTGAGGTTCTCCGTACTGGTTGAACAATAGTCTGCGGTCTGCTCGGAAGGAAAAAGCGACGTAATATTNAGTGCGCCCCACCCCCTCAACCGCCACCACCACACCTCCGTTTGTTCTGCGCAGCTTCCGTGGCCCCGCTCTGTTCAGCAGCAACACGTGCGACGAGGATGGTGGCGGAGTGTACAACGGAGAAGGCTCCAAGATGACGTGAGGTTCTCCGTACTGGTTGAACAATAGTCTGCGGTCTGCTCGGAAGGAAAAAGCGACGTAATATTCACTGTTTTTTTAATAGGCGTGCCAAACAAAACACCTCGTAGTTTGTAGTATTGGGGTTGTGGCGAGGACGTTGTTCGAGATCGAAAGTAACACCTATGCATGTTTACCCTGGGTGCAAGAAGAAGTAGCCGCCGAGCCTTGAAGAAGACTCGATTCTCAGTAGACGAGGAGCGTTCGCATCCGCAAGAGGTGATCGATTCATTCCACATAGCCGAGACCGCATCATCATCGCCCCGACACCTTCGACTACTGTTTCTTCCCCACCAGCAATGCTTTTTCACACCAGCGCACGGTCCGTCATGTTCCCACGCACAACGCGCCCTTTTAATGGTAATGTTGACAAACACACGCCTCTATGATGCGCGTATGTGGTATGTGTGTAGGTTCTACCAAAGGACCGAATTGTACGACAACTGGAGCAAGGACGGGCACGGTGGTGGCATGGACAACCGCGGGGAACTCAAGTGAGAAGAGAGTGCTGTTAGACTACTGTTGGGATGTACATTTGAGACCGCTACACTTGATTAAAGTATCGAGATTTCGGACAAGAATCCTTCGTTGTTTCTTTCGGGATTGTGCTGGCGGAAACCCCAATTTTCTATCGGGGAACTACTTTGTATCAGTGTCCTATACCGCGTCGCGATTTACCCAACATCCCTCTCTGTTGCTTGTTGTAAAGAGCCAAGCCGCCTGCCTGCTCTCGCGTCCCGGAAAGATCTTTTTCGTGGATCGACCACACTCCCTCTTCAGCTCACCTACGGAAAAACGTCGCCAGCGTTATTCCCATACGTAGAGATCGAGGACTAAAACCGAAGCGCGCGCGCGTATGCTGTACGTGCTTGTGCATTCGGGACGTTTGCAGGTTCAGGGGGGCGGTGCGGGCTACCGGAAACAGGTGCGCGGAGAGCGGCGGCGGAATCTCAACCGGCAACGGAGGAACCACCACGTGAGTTGGCAAAAGATGGCGACATTTGCTTGCGCACCGTTGTATCTGTGCTGCGAGGTCTCGCTTTGGATTCCTTGGGGAGGGGTGTGAGGCGTCAACCACGGAACAATATTGTGCCGCCATCGAAAATGTGTGCACACTACTGCAGACAATGGGCATGTATGTATTGTTGAGGTAGAGGGCCAAGCGGCGAGCGGCACTCTGCGGCTACGAACACACGAAAACTCTCTTCGTCTCTCGTTCGCGAAAAAAACAAACTTTTGAGCGTCTTTGTCTCCTTCCCCCCCTTCCATCCCCTTTAAGCGTGGAAGCTTGTTTCTTGTAAACGACATCTTGACGTTCTGTGCGTCTGTCTGCGTTCCCCCTCTTGCTTTGTTGGTCGTGTTCTGAAGGTTCTATGGGTGGGTTACGATCCAGTCCAACGACGCTGGAACGACCGGTGGAGGAATGAGCACGTACGTCGTTGGCTCCAGGTGAGAAGAAAGGATACCAACGGCTTTTTCACCCAGCAACGACTATATCACCGAGATGACAATGTTCCTGACCTTGGAGGGACATCGCCTCCGCCGCCCGGATCAAGACAAGAAAACAAGCAACAACAGGAGAGCTGCACAACGTGGAACATGACACAATTTTGGTGTCTGTGTGCGTGTGTTTAGTCTATATGCCGTTTTGGAGTCAGCCCTCTCTCTCTCTAAGCGTCGCTGTCAAAAAAGGTACCTCCGTCATTTTTTTGGGAGGGGGTGTACTCATAGTCGTGCATGCCGTAGTCATTAGACCATTGACCTCGCATCCCTACAAAGCCGGGACGGAGCACGCCGGGTTCTCACCGGACCAGGCGTCATTTTTTGGGGGCAAGAGCTTTGGTTGGTCAAACTTGTGCTAGGCGTACACGAAGTGTGACTTTGGGCAAAACGTGAAGCACCCGAGAACTTTTGAGCTCCAGTGTGGCCGCAACAACGGTCACCCTCCCCTCCCGCTCCTGCTCTCGACCAACCTCGTCCTCCCCCCCCCTTTTTTTGCGGCACGATCACTCGCTCCCCGAATAACCAAGCCGCTCTCTCTCTCTCTGCTTTGCTGACGCCACCCTTTTGTTCGTTTCTTTGCAGCGACGGTGGCAGCGTTATCGAGTTCCGCAAGCCGGCAAGGGTGGACATCAGCATCAACGAGAAGACGGGGGTGAGCTCCAACAATACATGGGCCGGATAGATAGATAAGATACCGTGGGTAGCAGGCACGAACATCGGCTGCATTACAACGCAGTCCACCCTCGCTCGCTTGGCCATGGACGTAGCTCCTCTCTTGTCCCATCGCACTGAACGGCGGTCGATGCGCGACGCGTTCGTTTGTCGAGGAAACGCCCTTGCCGCCTCGCTTCTCCCTCCCTTCCCCCTGAACGCTTCCCGCTTGTCCGTCCCGCGACGTGCTTGTGCCTGTTATTTCTTTGCACCTACGGAAAACATGATCGTCCTGCATCACATGCCGCGGCGGCACTGACTTACCTGTCTGTACTTGCCGCTACCATTTTTCACTCGCGAATACCATCCGGCGGAAACAGGACGAATTGGGCTGCAACAGCGTCTACGTCGACGAGACCTCCAGTATCATCGGCTTCAACGTGGACGATGTCTGCGAAGAGTCGTGATGTCTCACAACAACAACAACAACAACAACGTTGGGGATCAGGGAAGGAGAAAGAGGCCCCCCTCTGTCTTCCAAGCCTGCGGCTGACATTTAGCACGTACATACGTGGAATGTCACTTGAGATATTTGGTAGCGAAGTTGCCTGTGTCCCGCCGTGGGGATAGGAGCCCGCGAAACAAATTTGGTGCGAGGGGGTAGCCGAAATTCTGCATTCTGCATGTGGACGGACTGCTGGCAGCGACTCTTGGGCACCAAGCCGGGACAACCCACGAATTTTCTCTGGTCCCAACGAGCAGTGCCGTGTGTTGGGTCTGTCTAGACTTAGAGGAGAAGGGTGTTGGTATGGCGTGCAAGCCTTGAACGCCACAGATGTGATGATGGTTGGTGCTTTTGCTTGCGGCGAAGGGTTCCGGTGCGGTCTATTGTATGTTGCATGTGGTAAACTTAATGCTGCGCGGGGAGAAGTTGCGAAAAGCGCCCTCCTCCCACTGGGTGAGTGATGTTGATGGATTATCCTGCCAAGAGACATCCTTCCAAGAGCTGCTTCGATCGGGGGAGGCCACCCGAGAGACTAGCACGTCATTGTAAGACAGCCTGTAAAGATTAAGATTTTCCCTTGTGGGACCGTCGTGAGACGAATAATGGGGACCTCTCAACGTGCACTTGGAACCGCCGCGATTGGGTGCATAGGCTGTCTCCTGAAAGTGTAACAACAATGTTTTGTGTGTGTTGAGGGTACTAAAGTTGCTGCTGTCGACGTCGTGGTGGTTTATCTTTCTTTCACTCGCTGTGTTTTCGGTAAATTATTGTCTTGTTTGTGGTTATTTGTGCTATCTTTGTCTCGCGGGACGCCTTCCTTCCGTGGTCACAGCCCAACTACCGTACCGTACTGCACAGAAAAACGGTGAACTTGGGTGCGCGCTGGTCCCGGTTCCTTTAGGAGACCGAGACGGTTTCTAGAGGTTTCACAGAACGGTAAAAAAGAAAGTGCCTGTCGCTGTTCACTCCGAAGCTCCGAACCACGGGCTTTTTTGAGCCGAACGCCCGAGGCACAAGGAATCGGACCACCGGCCGTCCTGCACTATTCTAGACGCCCTCAGCAAGTTTGAGCTTGATTGGAACCTCCTCATTAAAGTTTGACTGTGTCGGTGACCGGCCTCCTCAAGGACGAAAACACGAGCATGCAGCAGATGCTGTCGGCACCAAATTGCGCCGCTCTCGACGAATTTGTGCCCAACCGTTGCCTATCCGCCATCAAATGAAAGCCCCGTCAAATCTACAGCCCGATCGACTAGTCCTTCGACGTTGGAATAGCTGTTGTGTCAACCAACTTTACCTGCCAATTAGAGGGCTCGGGCCACACTGCTGCAACCTCTCGACGAGGAAGAATGTTCCGCCGCATTTATTTCGCACGCACCAAGCTGAAAAGCGAAACGCACACAATTTGTCTAATTGATGATTGATGGATGAGTGATGTCCCCCCGCATTTCGACAGCAGTTACTATTTTTATTACGGCGCGCGCATAAATACACGTTCGTTCTGCTTTGGTTGGAAGTGGGATGACCCACTCCGAGGCCGGGATTAGCCTGCCAACGACAGGGTCGGGGCACATCTCTGTCTTGTGCCCCACGGAGGCTGTATATTTCTCCGGGTTTCGATCGTCACAGCAGGGTTTTGTTCTGGTTTTACGCGCGCGCATATTAATAATATAGACTAGTCTACGTTCTTCGGCTCCATTGAATTTTTTCTTGCCCATCCATTGTTGTTGTTGTTGTTGTCTTCACATTAAAAACCGTTCCGATCTCTCTCTACCCAGTACCTTCGTATTTCCGTCCCTCTTGAGTTGTCAACTATTTTCCGTTTTTTTCCCGGATGTAGGATTTCTGTTCGATACGGTGTCAGGGGTACCAGGGAAGACGGGGCCGAGTTTTGTTTGATTTCGGGTGGAAGAGGTTGGGGTTTTGTTCGTTTTTCGCCATCTATCATCTAAGGTTCGTGCCTAGAGTTCAGCTGTAGTGTTTCAACCAAAGTTTTGTTGACTTGGAGGCAAACATTCCTAGCTATTGGGCATCGAGTTAATTTGGCTTGGCATGACGGCCTTTACGATCGACTTTTTATGTATGTCTGCATTTATCTGCAATTGTCGGAGGGCAAACAAAATAATAATAGTAGGTCGTATAGGGCATAGAAAAAAGAAGAGCGCTCGGAATATTTCCCACTTTTGTAGTCCCGTATCCAATACCCCGTCGCGGTTAATATGAAACGAATTATCATATTCCTCTCTGTTGCTTGTAGTGAAAAACCAAGCCGCCTGCCTGCTTTCGCGTCCCGGAAACCTCTTTTTCGTGGATCGACCAAACCATCTGCTCAGCCCACGAACGGAAACAACTGCGCCAGCCTCCTTCCCATTTATCATTGATAGAGGAATACGACGGAAGCACGCGCGCGTATTGTTATACTTCTGCTTTTTTTGCGTTCGGAACGTTTCAGGTTCAGGGGGGCGGTGCAGGCTACCGGAAACAGGTGCGCGGAGAGCGGCGGCGGGATCTCCACCGGCAACGGAGGACTCACCACGTGAGTTGGCAAAAGATGGGCGACACTTGCTTGCGCACCGTGTTGTCTGTGCTACGAGGTCTTGCTTTGGATTTCTTGGGGAGGGGTGTGAGGGGTAAAGCATGGAACATTATTGCGCCGCCATCGACAATGTGTGTTCAAGGTACCTTTTTTGTCAGCGACACTTAGAGAGAGAGAGAGGGCTGACTCCAAAACGTCATATACACTGAACACACGCACACAGACACCAAAATTGTGTCATGTTCCACGTTGTGCAGCTCTCCTGTTGTTGCTTGTTTTCTTGTCTTGATCCGGGCGGCGGAGGCGATGTCCCTCCAAGGTCAGGAACATTGTCATCTCGGTGATATAGTCGTTGCTGGGTGAAAAAGCCGTTGGTATCATCTCTTCTCACCTGGAGCCAACGACGTACGCGCTCATTCCTCCACCTGTCGTTCCAGCGTCGTTGGACTGGATCGTAACCCACCCGTAGAACCTTCAGGAGACGACCAACAAAGGGGGAAGAGGGGAAACCGAGACCACAGACGCATAAAGAAGTCAAGATTTCGTGCATGAGAAACAAGCTTGCACGACATTGGGGATGGAACGGGGAAAAGGAGATAAGAGACGCTCGAAAGTTTTTATTTTTTTTGTTGCGAACTATATAGAAACGAAGAGAGTTTTCGTGTGTTAGTAGCCGAGGGCATGAGTTTTGGTTGGTCAAATTTGTGCTAGGCGTACACGAAGTATGACGTTGGATACAACGTGGAGCACCCGAGAACTTTTGAGCTCCGGTGTGGCCGCAACAACGGTCACCCGCCCGTCCCGCTCCTCTTCTCGACCAACCTCCCCCCCCCTTTTTGCGGCACTATCGCTCGCTCCTCGAGTAACCAAGCCGCTCTCTCTGCTTTGCTGACGCCACCTTTTTCTTCCTTTCTTTGCAGCGACGGTGGCAGCGTGATTGAGTTCCGCAAGCCGGCAAGGGTGGACATCAGCATCAACGAGAGACGGGGGTGAGCTCCAACAATATTTGGGGCCGGATAGATAGATACCGTGGGTAGCAAGCACGAACATCGGCTGCATTACAACGCAGTCCACCCTCGCTCGTTCGGAGGTAGACGTAGCTCCTCCCTTGTCCCATCGCACATAGCACCGAACGGCCGTCGATGCGCGACGCGTTGTACGTTTAGTTTGTCGAAGAAACGCCCTTGCCAACTCCCTGCTCCCTCCCTTCCCCCTCAACGCTTCCCCCTTGTCCGTCCCGCGACGTGTTTGTGCCTGTTTTTTTTTTGCCACCTACGGAAAACATGTTCGTCCTGCATCAAATGCCGCGGCGGCACTGACCTACCTGTCTGTACCTGCCGCCACCGTGTATTTACTTCGGGGTCGATCATTATCATCATCCGTGACTTTTTCACGCGCTGAAAAAATTCTGGCGGAAACAGGACGAATTGGGCTGCAACAGCGTCTACGTCGACGAGACCTCCAGTATCATCGGCTTCAACGTGGACGATGTCTGCGAAGAGTCGTGATGTCTCACAACAACACCAACAAACACGTTGGGGATCCCAGAGGCCCCCTCTGTCTTCCAAGCCTGCGCCTGACATTAAGCACTCATTCATGTACCTGTAATTGTAACTCGAGATATTTGGAAGCGACATTGTTTGTGTCCCCGCTGGGGGGAAGGGAGCCCGCGATACGAAGTTGGTGCAAGGGGGTTGACGGAATTCTGCATATGGCCGGACTGCTGGCAGCGCCCCTTGAGCACCAATCCCGGACAACCCACGAAATTGATGCGGGTCGCAATGAGCGGTGCGATGTGTTAGCTCTGCCTAGACTTAGAGGAGAAGAGTGTTGGTATGGCGTAAGCTTTGAACGTCACGGAAGATGGGGAGGTGTGTTGGTCCTTAAGCTTGCGGCGAAGATTGATGGCGGTGAAGGTGGCATGCGGTAATATGATGCTATGCGGGGGGAAGTTGCGAAAACCCGCTCTCTTCCCAGTGGGTGAGTGATGTTGATGGATGGGTTGTCCTGCCAAGAGACATCCCTTCCGAGAGCTGCTTCAATCGGTAGGGGTGGCACCCCCCGATAGACGAGCACGTCGTCATAAGGTAGCCTATATGTACAAAGATTATGATTTCCCCTTGTGGGACCGTCGGAAGACATTAATGATGATGGGGACCTCTCCATGTGCACTTAAAACCGCGGTGATTGGGTGCATCGGTTGTCTCCTGAAAGTGCAATTATAATATTTGTGTGTGTGGAGGGCACTACACTACTGCTGCTGTCGATGCCGTTGGTGGGGTCGGTTGTGTTGTTTTTCCTTGCATTCAATCATTGAATTATTGTCTTGCTTTGTTCTTCAGGTGTTGTCGTTCTTTACAACAAAATATCGTTAGCTTCAGTCTCTGCTCAGACATTCGCCTCTGTCTAACTCGCGGGACGCCTTCCTTCCGTGCTCACAGCCCAACTACCGTACCGAACAGAAAAACGGTAAGTGAAGGCCGCCTGCCTCTACGCCTCTTGGGCGCCCGCGCTGGTCCCCGGTCCCATCAACTAAAAACAAATAATCGAAGAGAAAAACAGGCGCAATTTTTCTGCCCCGGTTTTATTGCCCTCGTGACAATATTGGCGCATGCCGGTAGGTATTTTGCGCGGCCTAAGAGTTATCTCTGAGGTGCGCTAAATAGCGAGATACAAGTAGGTAACGACCGCCCCATTGCCTTCGGTGACCATCTCCCTCCTCGGAGTGTAACCATACAACAACGCTGACCACATTTTCGCTCTTGTCTCTGCATATATGTGAAAGAGCACCCTGGCTTTTTCGGGCCCTCTTTTCGATTGTGGAGCTCTCTTGCAGTTTGGAAGTCACCCTTCTTCCTGCTGCTGTGTCTCCTGCTCGAGAGTGATGCTATTAGCACTTTTCCTTGCGGCTTCTCTTCTCGTGAAAAAACATGAAAGACAACGCACGCCGACAAGCTCGCCGAGTGACCATATCAACGCGAACGGGCCGTCCGGTTGAAAGCATCTGCTGCGTGGGGATCGGAAAAGCTTCGCGGGGGAGCCCGTTCCGCAACAACCTACATTTGAGGGACATGCTGTCTGCGGTGAGCGCGGGGATATTTTGTCGTCTGTGAATGCATATTATTATGTGGGTTCAGAGAAGATCGTGTCGCCAACGTACCCCCCCTCCTAAAACCAAGCAAAAATGTCTTTACTGGAAGTTTCGGCAGGGGAGGGGGGGCATGTCGTTGTCAGGGATTTAGGGAGGAGGTCCCGTCTGCCGTAACCGGCCATGCTGTTGTCATCTGTGTAGGTTAAGAGAATTTTCGTATCATTATCCGCCCCAACCCCAACCCGTATCCCCTACTAACCAAGATCAATAGCTGTACATCCTCGCAAAGGCTACTGGAAGTTTCGGCAGGCGGGGGGGTGTACTCATAGTCGTGCATGCCGTAGTCGTTAGACCATTGACCTCGCATCCCTACAAAGCCGGGACGGAGCACGCCGGGTTCTCACCGGACCAGGCT